GGGGGGGTACCCCTCACAACGCGGATGGGCTTGGGTTGCTCGAGTGGCCTCGATGGTCGAGGCCCACTCGACTTAAGAACCTGAGGAGCCTGCCCGCGGGGTCGGAGACCATCCCCAGCAGAACTTTTTGCAGATTTGGCGTGGGACATCTTTTTGGGGTGGGGGGGTGGAAGACAGACCTCTAGCACATTCTATGATAATTCTAGGAAAACGATAGATGGAACTTCCTCATGGGCTTTAGAGCCAGACCAGCGGTGGGGGAGTGGTGTTCTCCCGGTGTGCATGCTCCAGAAGCAGTTACGGATGCCAGGCCTTAGGGTCTCCCTGCTGCTCAGGCAGTGCCCCAGGGGTTAGGAGCCTGGACGGGGTCCCAAGTGAGGGCCTTGCCTAGATGGTTGAGAAGCATGGTAGATCCTTAAGGGCATTGCAAACTATGAGGGGAAAATGCTTCACAGCTGCCTTCCCCACAGATAGAGGGTTTGAGCCAGATGTGGAGAGCCCTTGTCAGAAGGCCTTGCCAGGTCTGACCTGGCAGGGGTCCAGAGCAGAGTTTTGAGCTTGGGAGCCCAGGACCTGTTCTCTGTCATCCCCAGTGTGTGCTAGAACAGAACTAAAGCAGCCCAGCCTCCTGTGTTCTGCCTGCCTTTGCAAAGGCCAGACCGCACTGAATAGCCTAGCTGTCTGCTGCTTGGCTCCAGTTCTGATGTCAGGAAATGAAGTCTCCCCTGCTGAGAGTCACCCTAGAAGGTGGTGGCAGGGTACCCCAGCCCTGCAGATGGCTGGGTCTTAGGAGAGAGCCCATCTCTGTATAGCTAACCCCTAGTTTGTGTGCATGTGTGGAAGCAGAATAAGCTAGTAAGTGAATTTTGGTTTTCTTGTAGTCCAGGCTGGCCTCAAACTCATGATTCTCCTACTACTTTCCCGGTGTTGAAGTTACAGGAGTGAACCGTTATTCCTGGCTTAGAAGCAGGAATTTCAAAGTCATCTCTTCCAGATTTTCTCATCTCAGGGGCTGTTGAGTAGACCCTTTGGTTCTTATACCCTTTGGCTCACCATCCTAGGATTGCAAGTCTAGGTGACCATGCAGGTTTAAAGGTGGTGCTCTTTCATGCCCCGTGCAGAGTGCATACCCCACATTTCCAAGAGGATCTGTTATGTTTGGGCCTGGGTGGGGGCTGGACCTTGCAGCTCATTCATTCCCTGCTAGCAGGCCTAGGTGGGTAGTATACCTCTTGTCCTGAAGGATGTCCCTGAACCCAAGGACTTGGTACCAGCTCTTCCAGAAGGAGCATTTACAAGCCCCTCCAGTCCAGTTGCTGGAGGTGGGCCTTGAGAGAACCTGTGGCCTCTGCCTTCTCTCACCTGGAGTCTGCTGGTGGTGGGGTGGGAAAGATGAACCAGGGGCCAGATTGCTGAGGGGCAAAGCTGTCAGGGAGAGATGGTGCCTTCAGTTGTGCAGCCTAGCTTCGAGTGTGGCTGTGTCTGGTGGGCATTGTGGCCTCTGAGCGCTCCTTCAGCCCTGACTGCCAGGGACCTCAGAGCCTGGCCGAGCAGATCACACATGTGCAATCTTGGCTAAGTCCTTGGAAACAAGTGAGCAGTGCGGGTGTCCAGGTCTGTGGCTCTTTCCTAGTCTGGGGTTGCTAAGGTTTTATGGAGCCTGAGACAAACCTGTCTGATGTGAAAGAACCAGATCAATAGAGTTGATAGCCAGACAAGCAGTATTGGAGCAGATTTGCATCAGGGACTTGGCTTTTGGTGGTCTTTCAGGCTCCTGAGTGCGTGTGCAGGGACAGGTCAGCTCTCATGCCTCTTGTTCACAGGTAGTAGTCCATAAGTTGCTTAGTGTGTTTTTCTGCCATGGCTGCTCACCTGGGCCTAGGTCACACTCACAGCCAGTTGTTGGCAGGCAGGAGGTTGAGATGCAGTTCATACATCCTGTCGGGATTGTTTTCAAGCCTGTCTGTGGCCTTCAGACAGGAGTGGTGTCAGAGAGAGAGAGACCAGTTCACCCCCTAAACCGTCTCCTGGCCCATCCGTGGAGGCTGGTAATGAAGCCTTGAACAGCCTCTGGCTTCCTGCTTATTTACTTTCATGTTGAGATTGGGTCCAAGGCCTGGCATGCTCCAACAACGAGCCACCTCCTGACCTTTAATTAAGTTTTCCATTCCGCATGAGGTGGAGGAAGCAGTAAGCTGTGGGGTGATGAAGGTGAGGGTGTGTGGCAGATGCTGGCATCGGTAGCTGTGATGTGATGCACAGCCACTCCCCTCGGGGATACGGGGCCTAGACTAGAGAAACTTGGAACAGCCCAGGTCCTTTGTGGAGCCAGCCACTGGGGAAAGAAAGGTGGGGTGTGTGAAAATGTTTAGCTGGCTTGAAGGCCTCTCACGTCTTAACCCATTCCTGCTGCAGGTGCTGGCTGGGCTCCTGCTCTGATCAGACTCAGCCCCTGGGCGCTGTCCCTCAGCTCTTTAGCTTAAGGCCAGCGCTTTCCCACTGGAGCTACAGCGTCACTTCTGGCTTTTTCCGCTTATGTGGTCCTGAGGAATCGAACTCAGGGCCTCGTGCATGCGAGGCAAACACCACCCCTGAGCCACCTTCCCAGCACCATCATTGCTCTGTTAATGACAAGCATTATAGCGATATGGTTATATGGTAATGATGTTTTGAACCTCTGGCTGCCTGGCCTGAGGATCCTTCTGGTGCCCTCTTCATCCCTGGGGCTTAGCCCCTTCTATGGGGACCCTGATGGATACGTGGGCCAAGCCACACCTGCTTCTAAGTGAAATGGGGAGATAGCAGAGGAAAGCAGGCTCCCATTCAGGTAACCCGAGGCTAGGCACGGGGGTGGGGGGGAGGACCTCAGCTCTGCAGAAGGGCAGCTCTGAATAATTCAGTGGGCCAAGGTGATATCCGTGCTGTGCCGGCACTGCCCACTCCAGATGGGCCCTGTGGATGGGTGGCCTTCCCTCCTGCAGCATGGTTGTGACCAGGTGTGACGGGCCAAATGGCGGAGATGGAATTTGATGGTTGTGGACATGAACCTGGAGGCACTATGGGGGTCTTTAACCACAACCCACTTTGACTGCATGCATGTCTGCATAGCACCCAGAATCCAGGGCCATATGCATGCCAGGCAAGTGGTATTTGAGAGGGTGAAGTGCTGAGAAGCGAGTACAGTCAAGTTGGACAGTGGCTCCAAGATGCCACCAACTGAAGTGGGCGTTCAGGGGTCGGCAGCTCTGGTGACAGCTTGAGGAGTGGAGTGTTAGTGTTTTAGTTGGAAATGGCCCGCGTCCCCTGCCCTTCCCCTGGGGAAGTTGGTCATCATCTCTGTCCCTCCCAACTCCCCAGGGAAAGGCTATGGGTCAAGGGCATGGTGCTGGTACAGGGATGGCCAGAGACAACAGGAGGCACCTGACCCCAGGGCTTTGGAGTAGGGAGGCCGCGCTCTGGTCCTGACATTCAGGAGGCTGAGACATGCTGGGAGCTGGAAGCCAGCCTGGGGCGACACAGGAGACCTTGTCACAAACAAAGTTCCTTTCCATTGCTTCCTAGGACAGCCTTGGGAAGCTGGGAACACCTTGGACTAATTCCTCCCCTCTCTCCCTATAGAAACTCGAAGGGTCTAAGTGCAAAGGGCAGCTGCTGATTTTTGGGGCAACCAACTGGGACTTGATCGGTCGGAAGGAAGTGCCTAAACAGCAAGGTATGCAGCTGGGCTCTGAAACAGCTTGTTTGGATGTTTTCTTGTGTCTGTGCCCAAGGCAGCCCTGGCACACGCCAGATAGGTGCTGTCAGTGTGCACAGGTGCATCGGAGGCTACGCGGCCGCTGGAGTGACTTGTGCCGGGTGCATTTCCATTAAGATGACACCACCCAGGCAGCTAGTTTCCTCAGACAGGCCCAGGCACCTCTCCTCCTCCTGTCACCACTTCCTCTACAAGGAGGCCGGGACTATGTGCTGCAGGCCGGGCGTCACTGAAGTCCATGTTGGTGCGGGAACTGGGCCAAGAGAATAACCAACCAATACTAGAGGGCACTGGCCAAGGGGGCCAGCCGCCCTGTGCAACCCCCCTCCCCCCCATGCAGACCTGATCTCTTTGCCGAGGCCCACGCCCCTCCAACAGAAGGCTGGCAGGTTGCCATGTTTTATGGCTTTTTGGTTTTCAGTTGGAGAGATGCCCGAAGTGCCTTCTAGTACCGCTTTACTGGGAGCAAATATTTGCACACTGCCGCACCCTTGTGCCTAGACACAGCCCCTGGAGGGTTGTGAGTCTGCTCAGGACCTGACTGCTGGCTGCTTCCCTGGAGCCAGATGCCTGCTTGGCGGGGCAGCCGGCTCTCAGGGACTGCTCCTGTCTGAGGCACAGCCCTGGTGCTGGGGCGGCTGGGGCCTGTCTGTGTGGAGTGCCCACCCACAGTTAGAGGCACACCGGGCAGAGCCGCAGCATGGGCCCTGTTGCCTGCTGCTCAGCAGATGTCCCTCTGCTCCCCTTGGGCTGCTGAGGGTCTACACGGTCCAGCAGCCGTGTAGTGGGTGCAGGGCAGACTTGGCCTTTGTCAAGCAAATTTTGCCCTTCCTGAGCTCACCTTGGAAGTGGCCTTCACTCCAGTTCCCCTTCCTGAAGTTTCTTCCTGTGCAGGTGGCATGTGTGATTTCACTGTTCTCAGACAGAGCTTGGGTAAACCCACCCTCCCCCATTGCCTGCCTCCCTCCCTCCCTCCCTCCCTCCCTCCCTCCCCAACACAGCCTGTTTTGCTTTCCTGACATGGTTTTGTTTGGCTTGGTTTTGGATTTTGTGCCAATAATGGAGCTTGAACTCAGGGATTTAAGTCCTTACTCTTGGCTTTTTGCTCATGGCTGGAGTTCTCCTACCTCCATTTATGACTTTCTGCTGGTTATTTGGAGATGAGACTCTGACAGATGAACTTTCCTGCCCAGGCTGGCTTCAAAAAAACCGTGATCCTCAGATCTCAGCCTCCTTAGTAGTTAGGATTGCAGGTGTGAGCCACCAGTGTCCTGTGTGTGTGTGTGTGATCACAGTTGGCTGTTAACTGACTTGGATCCCCAGGGGATACCTGGCTGTGCTCATGAGTTGAGTCTGTGCCAGCCCCTCCACAGGAAGAGGCACCTTGGCAAGGCAGCCCACGTCCCCATGAGCAGGCCGCAGCTCCTGCCCTGCCAGCTGGGCTGTGGACAGCAGAGCTTCCTCGTCAGGTTCTGCTGTCCCTGTATGGGGCGTTGTAGCAGCTGTGCCATTCCTGATGGCAGCCCCTGCTTTTTCTGTGACCCAGATATTGCCCTAGCTTCTCCTAGTTTGAGTAGCTGGCCCACAGCTTTTTTTGGGGGGTGGTCCGGTCGTGGGGCCTGAACTCTGGGCCTGGGCGCTGTCCCTAAGCTCTTCCGCTCAAGGCTAGCGCTCTACCACTTGAGCCACAGCGCCATTTCTGGCTTTTTTTTCTGCTTATATGGTGCTAAGGAATCGAACCCAGGGCCTCATGCATTAAAGGCAAGCGCTCTACCACTGAGCCACCTTCCCAGCACCCCCAGCTCTTTCTTAGTTTGCTGCACCTCCCACCTTATAGGAGAGGTGTGGCACAGACTTCCCTGAAGCTCTGATGGGCTCTACAGCCTGAGAAGGAGAGCAGGTGGCGCCCTCTACCTGGGCAGAGTGGGCATGACCGGCACCTCACAGGTGACAGATGGAGAACACAAGCTCTTGCATGCGTTCCTACGTGAGCCGCGGTGGCTGCCCTCTCACAACAGCCGCCACTGTGTACGAGTGCTCTGCAGAGCCCAGCATGGGACACGGCTGTGTGCAGTAGGGTGAAATGGGGCTGTGGAGGGAGAACTCAGCCGCTGGCAGATGTGCGCTCACCATGGGCCAGGCATCTGTGAGTCCTGGGCAAGGGACAGCAGGCCACCGCGTTGCTGCTTCTGGCAGGGATGGACACACTGGGAATTGGACATCCCAAAATCCAATACAGGCTTCCCCAGGAGTCTGAAGATAGGTTGGCTGAGATGCCTGAGAAGCGTGGGGGCGGGGGGACCTCTGGGTGCAGAGCAGGCCCAGGGTGGAGGCAGGAGTGCTGTGGGGAGCACGGGGAGCAGGGCTGGCAGGAGCCTGGGCTTGGGCCTGCACTTGTATGCTCCCTGAGGGCTCTGACTCGGCCAGGGCTCGGGCTGGGGCTGGCAGTGCCAGTGCAAAGGTGACCAGTGACCCTGGGGCTGCCAGCGCTCCTACGGCCCCTGCCTGTGGCCCTCAGCACAGAGCGGTGACTGTGCTGTGCGCTCGTGGCCACCAGGCTGGGCCGGTGTCCTCCCCGAGGGAAGTGCCCCGATAGCCATGGCGTGGCCGTGCGTCCTCCAGGCATCTGTTCACAAGGTGACTCACATTCTTGTCCCCGCAGCTGCGTACCGCAATCTCGGTCAGAACCTGTGGGGTCCCCACAGGTATGGGTGCCTGTCGGGGGTCCGCGTGCGGACCGTGGTCTCGGGTTCCTGCGCAGCGCACAGCCTCCTCATCACCACGGAAGGGAAGCTGTGGAGCTGGGGTAAGTACCCGCGCCTGCTGCGCCTCGTAGAGCGCGCTGAGAGCGTTCCCGGGCCTCCACCCCCTCTCCTTCCTACACGGAGGCCCCTCCCATCGGGCTGGCTTCCCTCCCACAGCCCTGGCGCTCTGTGGCTCACTGAGACCAGGGTCTGTTTCTCGGGCGCTCTCTCTCTCCCTTGGGGAAGAGAAGCCACCTTGGGGTGGCTCCTGTCCTGTGACTTCTGCTCTTCCTGCTCCGTGTGGGTCACAGGTGTTGACCGAGGCCCCTCCAGCTGGGTGTGTGGACTCTGCCCTCAGGGACTGGGCGCTGTTCCTAAAGGTTCTTTCTTTTCTTTTCTTTTTTTTTTTTGCTCAAGGCTAGCATTCTACCACTTGAGCCACAGCTCCACTCCTGCCATCTCAGTAGTTTAAGATAAGGAATTTCACAGATTTCCTGCTTAGGCTGGCTTCAAACCTGATCCTCAGATCTCGGCCTGGGGTAGCTGGGATTACAGGTGTTAACGATGGCACCTAGCCATTGACTGTTAGAGTCCATATGACTTCATTTTTATTTCTGTTTCTTGGAGCCTTTTTTTTTTTTTTTTTTGTGATTTCATGAGCTGTTGTACCAAAGTCCAAATACATTAACATCTGTTGTCTTTTCTGCACTCTGCTAATTTTGTGATTCTGTTTTTAACCAAAAAAAGAAGAAAAAATCCCCCAAACAAGTTATGTGTGGCCCAAATTTATATCCTTCGCGGGCTGTTGACATGCCACGCTTCCCCCCGGGTTGTTTCCTTCTGGCTGTCTTCGTGTGTGGCCCTCCCGTCACCTCCTGCTTGCAGTTATGTGAGTGCTCCCAACGGAAAATGGCCTTTTCTCTGATCTCTGCTGAGCTGCGTGGATGTCCAGGTTCTAGACAGGGCTCTGCTGTGTGGCAGAGGTCCCCGCGCCAGGGAACCCGGCATGCAGCGGTGTTTTGGGTCCAGGCACGTGTCATGGTCCACCGGTGGGGCTCTGGAATACCTGAGCACGAGCAGGAGAGAGGAGAATGCCTCTTGGGCCTTGCCACCCCCGTTGCTGAGCCAACAGGGTGACGGGTGCCCTGTGTTCTGCATGCTGTGCCTTTCCCAGAACATGGGCAGCGAGTGCTGGCCCTGGGGCCTGCTCCCAGTCTACACACCACCCCTGAGTGAGCTTCCTGTGTCAGTTGCCCACTCACCTCCAACTGGTGTTCAGCCTGGTGACTGTTCTCAAGGTTTCTCCTGTGGCAGGGAGAGTGCCCCCACCCCTGGCACAGAGGAGCTCTGGAAAGTTCCACGGGTCCTCCAGTGTGGCTTGCATGTGTGTTCTCTGGGAGGGCGTGGGGAGGCAGTGTCCAGATCCTTGTAGCCCAACCTGTCTTGAGCAGAATTTGGTTTTCCCAGAGGCCCTGGTATCGCCGAGGTCTTGGCACATCCTGGTCCCCTGGGTCCATCCTCGAGCCTCTGTGGGGCCGGGCTGCCGCCACGGCTCAGCTCAGAGCTGGGGACATCCAGGCAGGATCACGGGGCTTGGTTGTGTTGGCAGTTAGGAGTGGCAGATAGGAGGAAGGATGGAGGGGGCGGGGGGGCACTCAATGGTCTGGTGGGTGAAATGTGGGTGGGTGGCCACCAGTGCCCTGGAGAGGAGGAGTTGCAGGGACCACGCTGGCAGGCGCCGGAGCCAGTGCCGGCCACACAGGGGTGTTTCTTAGGGTTCCGGTCGTAGCACGGGTTGGGGTGCTCTTGGTTTCCCACCGCTGTGGAGGATGCCGGGGAGGGGGCTGGCAGGAGCTGGCCTCCTGGGGTTTGGAAGCTGCACACTGGGAACACAGGTGGTCTCTCTGAGAACACTCGTGAGCGGCCCCTCGGCCCCTCGTGGCTTGCAGGTCGCAATGAGAAGGGGCAGCTGGGCCACGGCGACACCAAGAGGGTGGAAGCTCCCAGACTCATCGAGGCCCTCAGCCAGGAGGTGATTGTGCTGGCGGCGTGCGGGCGCAACCACACCCTGGCACTGACTGGTAAGGAGGCGCGGCTCCCAGCTGGGGGGGGCAGAGTCCCGGAGTGGCTCCCTTCAGGGTGCCCTGGACAGCTTGGTGGCTTCTTGAGGGTGGTGAGGGCCTAAGAAGGCTCCCTAGGGCCTTGAATAGCCGCTAGTGCTCAAACCAATCGCCACCTCGCCGTTCTGCAGTGTGCTTTCCTGTGATTTGGGCGCCGCGACATTCCTTTCCCTTCTGTAACACTTTCCTCTCCTTCCAGAAACGGGCTCCGTGTTCGCTTTTGGGGAGAACAAGATGGGGCAGCTGGGCCTCGGCAACCAGACAGACGCCGTCCCCAGTCCTGCACAGGTAACGTCATCACGCGTACTGTGGTCAGGCCGACAGACATGTGGTTCCCTTCAAAGGAAAAGTGTGTGCAAGCTGGGTGCTAGTGGGTCACCCCTATAATCCTAGCTACTCAGGAGGCTAAGATCTGAGGATCGTGGTTCAAAGCCAGCCGGGGCAGGAAAGTGTGAGATGCTTTATCTCCAGTAAACCACCAGAAAATCAGAGGGGTACTGTGACTCAAGTGGGAGAGTGCTCTCCTTGAGCAAAAATAAAATTATAGATACAGCGCCCAGGACCAGAGTTCAAGCCCCATGACCGACAAAAGTGTGCAGAAGTCTGTCCTAGTCCAAAGAAAGTGTGTGTCGGAGGGTGTAAGTTCTGCACACACCTAGTGTTCACAGCCCTCTGTCAGATGCTTGGAACGTTAGAAGCATCTCTGGGTAACAGTCTCAGGAACTTGTGATTAGTTGGGAGGGGGTTGTCCCTGATGAGTGCACTCCTGGTGCTGGGTGGCAGGAAGACAAATGCCGACTCCTGGCTTAGGCAAGGGAGAGGGCCTGGGATTTCTTTCTGGGGCTGGAAGATTGGCAGTGCCCCTGCGTGGTGGCCATGTGCTGTGAGGCAGGGGGCTTGCTCCTCTACCCGGATCGTCTAGCTCACCTGCCCCAGCAGTTCTGTCCCTTCATCCTCCAGTCCCATGGGGGCTTTTCCAGGTCCTTACTGTTTTGTGCATCCTTTGCTGCCTTCTTTCTCCAGTTTCCCTATTTTCAACCCCTTCATGCTTTATTCCCCGTTCACACTATCAGTTAATGCCCTATGCCAAGCGGCTGTCATTGTACGAGAAGTGGCCCGTCCCAACTGCTGGGCGGGCCCACTACCTGGGCGCCAGTTCTGGAGTGAATGTCCTTCCCAGCTCATGTTCCCGCTGTGGACACCAGGATGTGTGGGGCCTGCTAGTGGGCTCCTTGGGGTCCAGAACCCCAGAGCAGGTGTTGCTTTTCTCAGACCTCTGCTCTGCCTGGAAGAGTCTCTTTGAGTTCTATGTTGTCCATGTCTGTCAATTCTCGGTAACCTCGTAATTGCTGCGTGCCATCACAGGGGAACAGGGAGACTCTTTATCAGTCTTTTAAAGAATGTTTGAAACTCTGCTGTCTCTTCTTTTCAGATAATGTACAACGGCCAGCCAATTACCAAGATGGCCTGTGGGGCTGAATTCAGTATGATAATGGACTGCAAAGGAAATCTCTATTCCTTCGGGTGCCCTGAGTTTGGCCAGCTGGGTATGGAAACGCCTTTAACGGCTCTGTAACCTTAACCGTATGTTTAGCAGTGTCGGGCTGCACACGTGTGTTAGGAATGCGGGTAATGGATCTCAGATAATGGCCTTTGTCCATTAGTGGGTCTCACAGTTAGCAGAACTGCATGTCCTCACCAGCTGGGCACAGTGCTCTCTCCTTGAGAGAGGGCTGGAGTCTGACAAAAGAGTCCTTTCTCTTGTTTGGAAATGCATTTATGTAAGGGTTTCAGAGAGGAAAAAGAAAAATAGGACCACCACCCATATCTAGATTCAGTTGTGCAAATTTGCCTTTGTTGAAAGAAAATACTGCAGGATGAAGGCTCTGAAATCCTGGCCTGGGCCCGTAGTTGAGAGCCCACTGGGGCTGAGGGTGTCCTGGGAAGAGGCGTGGTGGTCCCCTTCTTCCCCTGCCGCTGTGGACTCACAGCAGAAAAGAGGAACTCACAGAGTTCCTCTTCCCATCCAAACTTGCAAAGGCTTCCATTTTCTTTCCTCCCCCCTCACACAAGGGACAAGTCTCCTCCTGAGCAGGAGGTTGAGGCGTGGGCGCCCCCTGCCGGCTGCTGCCTCGTGCTCGGCCCCCGGGATCTGGGTTGCTGGGTCCCTGCGTCATTAGAAGTGCGCAGATGGCAAAGTATAAATAGAAGGCCGAGCAGCGCACCGGCCTTAGACTTCAAGAACAGTGACTTTGTGAAACTAAATATACCTCAAGTCAGAAATGAATAAGAAAGAACAACGCCTTACGCACATCCATGCTGGATGTCGGGAGCTGCGGACTGTAGGGTAACATGGGTTTCCTTGGCCATGGCCCTCGGGTGGTGCTCGGGACCCCTTCCCAGGCCCTGGAAGTGCGTGTCTGCTTTTTGCTGCGGGTACATCTCCCTGGGAGCCACACCAGCAGGTTACTTAGCAAGCAAGCACACGCTGCTTCAAGAAGAGGGTGCTGGGCAGGCAGGGTGCTGATGCTTACAGAGCCAATCCCGGTCTGCCAGTCACCAGTGGAGCACCGTGCACAGCTTTGCTCAGTTTGTATCTTGTAGGCTTGTTCGGGAAGCTGGCTTGGTTTCATCAATGGAATCTTACTCTTCACTCACAGCTTACTTAAAAACAGGCTTCCAGCTGGGTGCTGGTGGCTCCTGCTTACAATCCTAGCTTCTGGGGTGGCAATGGGTGGGGGGAGTGTAAAGGGGAAAGGGGGGGCAGGCTTGAGATCCTATTGATGGTTGAGAAATTAGAAGCAGCCTGGGCAGAAAAGTCCAAGAGACTTGGTCCCCAAAATAACCAGAAAAGGCTAGGCTAGAGGTGTGGCTCAAGTGACAGACCACCATCTGATCAGGCTACCTGAGTAATCATGAATCCTCAGTACTGGCAAAAAAAAAAGAATAGGTTTCCAATCCTGTGAACTCCTAACAGGTCCCTAGAAGGACCAGAATGGCTTAGAAGGCCAGCATTGCCCTCTGCCACTCGGCTGCATGAACTTGCTCTATCAGGCCAGGGATGTGAACAGGCTGTCGGAGTTTCTCGCTCTCCCAAGGAGCCAGAGCAGTTGTTGCCCCATACTCCGGGAAAAGCTGTAAAGGAGATGGGAGGAAAGATGACCGCCAACATATACATGCCTACCGCCCTCTGGAGACTGAGGAACCACGTCCCGTTCTGGGATGGCTGGACCCAGTATCCTCCGCTCACAGAAACCTTGTCAGCAGAAGAGTTTAATATGCCTCTGTTTACCCATTCATTTAGTTCATGAGTAACAGCACCATTCCCTTGTAGCCCTGAAAAGACGGGGCACTTGCAGCCCTCAGACTTGTAAATGGCAGGTGGGTGGACGTGGGAGGGAAGCACGTGTGGCGGCCTTGAGCTGGTGCCACGTGAGCCGCTCCTGAGACTCAGCAGCTCCAGCCAAGCCGGGAACCCCGCTGTGGTCTGCTTGTGTGCACAAGTAGTGTGCCCACACTTGGGGAGGCTCGGCGTGTGGGCAAGTGTCCAGGCTACTTGGCCTGGCAGAGTTGCAGCCAGCATGCTGGGCAGCACGCAAGCCCAGGGTCAGACCACTGGTCACTCACTGTACGGCACAGGGGGTGGCAGCTGCCGGAGCATGCGTGCGCCAGTCCACCTCCAGGACTGGACAGCCCGGGTCCTTCTGTGTGGCCCTTGACACAGTGCCTGCCGGTTTCTGATCATTCATAGAAACATCGGGATTGTGTGTTGTAGTTGTGTCTCCCCTTGGCCCTCGGGCTCTGAGCACCCAGGTGGGCACAGCCTGTGTGTCCTGGGTGTGTCCTGTGTTCCGTGCTTTGGTTAGTGCAAGTGCAGTCACAGTGAGACACGAGTTCACACTGTGTCCCTCCCTAAGTTAGATGCAGTTGTGCACGGGGGTGTCACCAGTGGACACTCTGGTGTGTGGGGGTCCTTGAAGATGTGGTTTTGTTGGTTTGAGACACAGCATTGCTGTGTGTCCCAGGCCGCCCCCGGACAGTGCTCCCTCAGCTGGACAGCAAGTGTGCACCACCACACCCGGCGGCTCTTTCTTTCTTGGATGCTTTTACTCCATTGAGTTCATTTTTTAACAGAATGACAGGGTTTCCCCCATACATTCATGTCAGGGCCCACTGGGCAGCTGGGCTCAGACGGGAGCTGGAGCGGCTGACGCAGTGGGCAGCCCGGGCTGCCACTGACGCCAGATCCGCTCCGCAGGACACAACTCGGATGGGAAGTTTATCGCCCGGGCGCAGCGGATAGAGTATGACTGCGAGCTGGTGCCCCGGCGGGTGGCCATCTTCATCGAGAAGACGAAGGACGGGCAGATCCTGCCCGTCCCCAACGTGGTGGTGCGGGACGTGGCCTGCGGCGCCAACCACACGGTGAGGTTCCCCTTCCTTGCTGTTCATGCTGCAGCACCCCACTGCGGCTCGGCTGGGGTCTGCTCCTGCGTGGGCACCCCACGTGCCGCTCAGCTGGGCTTGGCCAGAGCCCCTGAGCTGCCTCCCGTGCCAGCACCTGCCTCGTGACGTCCGCGCTGCCCCAGCTCGGAGGCAGGCAGCTTCCTGCCTCTGGCTGGCAACATGGCAACAGCGGTGTCTGTCTTGCACTCAGTGTGGGGTGGTTTCCTGAAGGGTCATCCTAGGAGAGCTGTGGTCAGTCTTTCCTGCCTCTGCTGGAGCGATGTCATGCAGACCAAGTGCACAGACCCCTAGCTCAGGCTCTCCTCTCTGGGGCCATGTCCCCAGTGCCTGGGGCCAGGAGCTCAGTTCCTGCCAGTCCAGAGCCGGGAAGGCCATTACCTCCGCTGGGGTCCCATGTCCTTTCAATATCTTCTCTGTAGCACAGGTGGGACCCATGTGTGCCCCACACTGAGCAACACCCTGGCCCTCCTCTCATCTGCTCCACACCAAAGACACCAAGGGAGAGCCGGGACCGCGGGCAGGGCTGCCTGGCTCATCCCCTGCACCTGTGGGCAGGCAGGGCCTTCCACTCTCCTGCCATGCGGGCAGTGCTGAGGGCAAACTAGCCCTGCCGTGCCCCTCCACCCCTGCCCCACGCAGGCATGGGTTCCTCTGCCCCCAGCCCCTCTCCCCGCTGGGAGCTGTGGGCGCCAGCCTGTGTCTCTCCCCGCAGCTGGTACTGGACTCACAGAAGCGCGTCTTCTCCTGGGGCTTCGGTGGCTATGGCCGGCTGGGCCACGCGGAGCAGAAGGACGAGATGGTGCCTCGCCTGGTGAAGTTGTTCGACTTCCCCGGGAGAGGGGCGTGCCAGATCTACGCCGGATACACCTGCTCGTTTGCCGTCAGCGAAGTGGGTCAGTGCCCCGTATGCAGAGCCCCCGTTTGGCCTTCATCCTCCGCAGACCACTGCCCATCCAGAGGCTGACCCCTGGCTCGCTGTGCTTGTGTCCTCCAGGCGGGCTGTTTTTCTGGGGGGCCACCAACACCTCCCGGGAGTCCACCATGTACCCGAAAGCAGTCCAGGACCTCTGCGGCTGGAGGATCCGGAGCCTGGCCTGCGGGTAGGCGGCAAGGCCCCTCCCTCCTCCGTTCCTTCCCTCCCTCCTGCTCTGTCCTGCACCAGGTCTGCGGGACAGTGGGTGTGGTGGGAGAAGCAGCTCCTTGGCCAGCACCTGGTGGTGGTTATTACAGTATGGGGCGGGGTGGGGGGTCCGGGGTGGCTCTGCTCTGTACCCCCTGGGAATCATGAGCTATCTCCTTGTCCCTCTGTGGCCTCCTCCCTTCCCGTTAGACCTCACTCCGGGGGCTTGGTCAAGGAGGTCTCCGAGCCCCGGCCCCTGTGGGGGGGGTTGTGTTGTCAGATGAACATGCCCTCAGTCCAGCCTCTGCTGCTGAAGGTGCTCCCAGGCTGGGGGAGGGGTGACGTGCTCTGCCCATTGCAGGAAGAGCAGCATCATCGTGGCAGCAGACGAGAGCACCATCAGCTGGGGTCCGTCACCGACCTTCGGGGAACTGGTGAGCCTGAGCCACTGGCTGGAGGCCAGGCCGGCCTCTGACCTCTGAAACAGGGAAGAAGAAAGAGGGTGGTGGGCTCCGTTCTGTGGACCTGGGGTCCCTTAGGTCTCAGGGCCAGTGCTGACGAAGACAGTCTTCACCATCCACTGTGCTGGGCTGGTGCCTTCCCACCGGGGATCTGTGAGGCTGTGCCATGGGGGGGGAGGGGGGGAATCACAACAAAGAGCTGGGATTACGAGCGTGAGGTACTGCACCCGGCCTGTTTTTCTAGTTGTAAACTCACAATTTCATGCAGTTAGAACCAGTGGCCCTTGCTTGCTTGTCCCCAGCCACATTTCCATTTCCCTCCTAGTGCTCAGTGGAGAGCTGAGTTCCTCACACCCCACTCCCGCCAGCCCTGTGTCTGCCTGCTGCGGGCACAGGCTTAGCTTCATCTCATTCTGGCAGTTTGACTGTTGATTGGCTGCTTCCCGCTCTGAGGGAGGCAAGGAGAGGGATTAGCCTGGCCCCTGACGCATCGCTGAGGTTGCTGGTCCGCGTGGTCCTTCCCAGCTGCCCTGTGTCTGTCACTTGTCCCTTATGAGACGGCTCAGTTGGAAACCCCGAAAGCAAAGAGAGACTAGGAGCCTAGCCTAGTTCCTTTGGCGTCTCAGAAGGGTGGATGGGCTTGAAATACAATTTTCCCTGTTACAAATGTGAACTTTGAAGCTGGAGGGAAGTGCTGGGCTTCCTGGGCAGCATCTCGAAGTAGAGACCTCTGGATGTAGACCACTGGTGTCCTACCGTCACGTGACTGCCCCTCGGTTTCCTGAGGTGGAGAGCACATGCTGGGGGACCCGTGTGCTCTCGGGCTCCCGCCTGGTGGGGTGCCTGGGAACGGCACAGTAGTCTTTGGGACTGTGCAGTTTGTGAGCACCCCTCCGCTTGCCTTACCAGGGCTACGGGGACCATAAGCCCAAGTCTTCCACGGCAGCCCAGGAGGTGAAGACTCTGGACGGCATCTTCTCAGAGCAGGTGACTTGTCGTGAGCGTCCTGTTGGGTGCCCTCTCCTGACCCGCTGTCCTGTCGCCATGCTAGCAGGCGCTGGCTTCAGCCATTGGCGGGAGAGCTGTCCCTGCCCTGGCCTTGTCTTGCGCTGACCCCAGGAAGCGCACTGCTGGGTGGACCTGGGCCGGGTGGGTCAGCTGCAGGTCCCCATTTCTGGCTGGAGGGGTTCCGATCAGTTGACGCCAGCAAGGCGTCCCCAGGGGTCCTCTGCCGTCCTGGGGGACCCGTGTGCCTGAGTGCTTCCTGCACTCTCTGTGACCCGGTGTGTCCTCACAGGTGGCCATGGGCTACTCGCACTCCTTGGTGATCGCACGGGACGAGAGTGAGACTGAGAAGGAGAAGCTCAAGAGGCTGCCGGAGTACAACCCGCGCACCCTCTGAGGGCGCCCCCTCGCCGCAGCTCATTCCAAGTGCACTGGGACCGGAAGTCCAACCGGGTTTAGGAAGCAGACGTTGACCGAAGGTGCATTTTGTTAAGACTCCCCAAGGTTCTGTTTTCTACGTGATTCAACGTCAACTACCTTTTTCTGTATGCTTTCCAAAGTGGTTTTTTCCCCCCTCAATGTTTAATTAAAATATTTGCTCATAGTTGACTTACCATTCCTACATACGAGGCAGAGACTTTGAGCAGTTGAAGTTTTTTAAGTGGCATTTCTTTTCTCCCTCACCTAAATCTGCTCGCCCCCACCTCCCATTCCAGCTGTAAGTAGCATTGTGATCTGAAGGGGCCACGCAGGACAGGAGAGGCTGGCCCTGGTGGCCGGTCCCCTCCGCAGCCACGTGCGTGCTGTGGAGCACCCGGGTCTCCTGCCTGCTCTCCCTCAGCCGGGACCCGCCCGCGCTGTCCCAGCCTCCTTCCCTGGCTGCTTGTGCACCCCACCGCCTCTGGTCTCAAAGTCAGCACTGTCCTGTCCCCCCTGGTGGGGGCGCTGAGGTTCGTTTGTGACCATTTTTATCAACTTCAGCTGTAAGATAAGTCCAGATGAGAATCAGGTGATTGGGGGAGGTGGGGGCAGCGGTGGGGAACATTTGTATCTGGGAAGGGGGGTTCTGGCTTTGTGGCTATCTGTCAAGTCCCTGCCTGGCCACCAGCGGGAGCTCCTTAGAGATGGACCAGCCAGCTGCCAGTGCTCCGGCCGCCTGCCGCAGACCAGCCTGTTGCCTCTGTCCCCACTGCCTCCGGTGCAGCCTGCCTGGGACCCCTGCCCTGCGCTCTCCATGTTTGGGGCTCCAGAAGAAGTGCCCTGCTCTGTGGCTGAGACTGCCGCCTGCATCCCTGACCCGTGTCCTGCCCAAGCCGGGCCCCCAGACGGTGCGGCGTGAGTGACGAGGTGCCTTCCCCAGAACCCGAGCAAGGCGGCAGCGCGGCTGGGCTCTGGGTTCCCGGGGCTCTGGACTGGTTTGGGTGCTTTAAGTAGATTTTAGTACCGTGGTGCTTCTGGGGCCGGGGGTGGGGGAAGGCAGGGCCTAGTGTGAGACTGGGGGGTAGGAACATGACATACTGGTTTTCAGCATTTGTTTTTGCTTTGCTATTGTTTCCACTTGTCATTGTCTCGAAGTTAAAATGCCAAAAATGATCTGTCTGGTGGATTGCTTTTCTCCTGCCCTCCTGCCCATCACTCCATAGTGGCTTTTGTCCTGCTGGGCATGACAGTACCGCCAGTCCCATGGCCTCCTGTCTTACATGGGATGTGAGGCTTGCATTCACGCCGTCCCTGCCCCACCTGCACTGCTAGCAGCACGGGGCGTGGACAGCACAGGGCGTGGGCTTCCGCAGCTCAGCTTCTGTGAAACTGACCTCTGTCCAGGCTGCCCCCACCACACTGAAGCCTCAAGTGTGCAGGACCCGGGCTCTCCCCACGCAGCAGCTGCACCCTGGAGGTCACCTCCAGCTCGGGTCACAGTCCAGGAGCTGCCCTGGGCTGAGGGGGCTCGGGTCTGGGGGACACAACTAAATCCAACAGTCCAGCAGTCACTGGCCGGTCCGGCGCCCTCCTCTGTACCCCACCCCCAGGCATAGAGATGTAACATGATTTCCACGTGGAGAAAATGCTTGAGAATAGGAGTTGGGGTTCCCACACCCCCAGAGGACCCCCTGGGAATGTGCTCTCTGGGTCTGGAAAGGAGGGTCTTGGGAAGAGCGGAGGGTGAAGGGGAATGAAAACGGCGCTGGGATTTGGCTGAAGGTGCCTGGTTTAGTGTTGTTAATTGTCTTATTTTTTTTATATATATATTTCTTGGAGTAAACATTTTAAATAAACTGCATCATTGTTTGGGCTTTGGCATTTCTTTTCAGTCAGAAAAACAAGCCTGTATGGCAGCCCCGTTTCTCTCAGCCTGCCCCATAAGACAGCTCCCACAGCAGGGAGTGTTGGAAAGCCCTCGGGGAGCTTTGGCCCCCAACTCCGCCCCTTGAAATCCTTGGACTGAGAGGGGTAAGGAGATGGGGTCAGTTCCTTGGTGGCCCCTTGAGTTGGGGGTCTGAACTCGTTTTGGAGGGTGGGTGCCACCTGCCCGTTGGGTCACCGAGGCATAGAGTGTGGCGGGTACAGCCACGCACAGAAGCATGCTCATGGTCTCCTCTGGGCCTTCTGCAGAGTGGGTGTGGCTCATGACGGAGTTCCAGGCCCCCTGGAAGGTGGGCCGCTGAGGGTGTAGTGGTGGTGGTATAAACTGGTCTTCTGTATGGTAGGGGGTTGACAGCCACACCCTGAGCCCCATGAGTGGTTATGAATGCTGTGAGCCAGCAGTGTTAAAGACACCCCCAAACTGAGGCAGGAGCATCTATCCCAGGCTGCAGCTTCTGTGTGACCAGCTTCTCGCCAGGGGGCGCCAAGAGACCAGGTTGGTGCCGAGAGAGCTAACACCTAGCCAGCCTGGAAAAGGAAGCAGTCCTCTGGAGCCAGGTCCTGGGGTCTGTCGTGGGGACTGCTGGGCCCTCAGGCCATGCTTCCTTATACATCAACAGTCCTGAGGTGCTGTTCTGAGAGGATGTAGACCAGAACCAGCCCTGGCTGCAGTGACTCTGGGAGCTCCTGCTGAAAAGCTCAGCCACCCCCTGGCTCAGAAGCACCCAGCCAGCATGCAGGGAGCCCACCCCTTCTGGGATGGGGCAGGTGCCGCCTTGGGCCCCTCCCTGCAGGAGCTGCCTCAGCTCTGTGGAGACCCAGAGCCTCTAGCTCTGCCTTCAAGAGCTGCCTGCCTGGGCCTAGTCCAGCAGGCAATGCTGGCAGCTCTTGGCAGTGCCCTGCTGTACATTGTGTGTGGCCAGCAGAGTTGGCCAGTGCCTGTCAGCGGCTCCTCTGGCCCCAGAAGAGGGGTTGGCAGGCCAGCAGTCTTGCCCTGTCCCTGGCACCCGTGAAGCTACCCCGCCCACCCCCCACCTTGGGACCGTGAGGACTTGGATGTGCCTGCTGTCAGCAGACAGGACAGCCCGTGTGCACTTGGCACTTGGGGTGCAAATTTGGCCTTTGCAGCCTGGCCTGTGCTGGAGGCACTGGGAAGGGGGCGTGGCATGCGTGCTGACATTTTCATGGGTGTATATGGGGGGTTGAGTCCCAGTGCCGCCCATATGCCCCCTTTCTCCATCCCCGGGTGTCCCCACAGAGGGCCGGGGAGACAGGTGGGTGCATCAGAAGTCAGCAATGCTCTTCTGCCCCAGAGGTGCTGTCTCCAGCTTTTGGAATAAGAACCGCTGGGCGGGCCTGCCCAGGCCTTGTCAGTGGCTGGAGTAAAAACATCCAGAGGGGCTGGGAAGGTGGCTCAGTGGTAGAGTGCTTGCCTTGCATGCCTGAGGCCCTGGATTCGATTCCTCAGCACCACATAAGCAAAAACAAAAAAGCCGGAAGTGGTGCTGTGGCTCAAGTGGTAGAGCGCTAGCCTTGAGCTGAAGAGCTGAGGGACAGCGCCCAGGCCCAGAGTTCAGGCCCCACCACCAGACCCCCCCCCCAAAAAAAAAACATCCAGAGCCCTCATGTGGCAGGTGCAGTGGACAGCTCTTCACTCAGGATGGGCAGGGTGCAGAGGGGTCCCTGGCCTTGGCAGGTAGGGGGTACACAAGTGAGCAGGGCTGGCTTCCTGGAGCCCTCACCCGCAGCCTGAGCCTGGGGTGGCTGAGTTGTTAACAGGAGCAGGAGATCCACGTGTATGGTTGTTGGTGTCCAGTTAACAGCACCCATAACTGCGCAGGCCATGAAGACTCCAACCAGCTGCCCTGGGTGTTTGCTAATAGGCCAAGACCACAGGCCTGAAAGTAGTGAAAGGCTAGGCCTGTTCAGGTCTTTCTACCACTTGAGCCACAGCACCACTTCTGGCCTTTTTTTCTGCTTATGTGGTGCTGAGGAATCGAGCCCAGGGCCCTATGCATGCAAGGCAAGCGCTCTACCATTGAGCCACCTTCCCAGCCCCTGTTCAGGTCTTGTGTGGAACTTTTGAATGGCGTGGAGGACACACCTGAGATGCCTGAGCAAACAAAGGCCAGTCCACCAGAGCCAGGCTGTCAAGGATCTTAGGGAGTGGCCCCAGGCCCAGCCATCTCAGTCCCGCTAGTTTGATAGAGACATTGAAACGGCAGCTGGCCTGGGCCTATATGCCCCACAGCCTCTGGCCAAACCTGAGGTCCCCTTCTGCAGGCCTGGACCATGTGGCAGGGGCAGCCTGCACTTCGAGGCCTTGAAACTCAAGGGAACTCGGGGCAGGGAGTCCTTGCAGAGCTGCCTGCTAGGTAATTGGCGACAGCCCAGAAAGGGGGGAGGGGGGACCATTACCTCTCATAGCAGCAGCAAAGGACAGCGAAACCCTGCCTGCCACCCTTGACGCCAGCACAGGCCTGCCACAGGCTCGACGGCATCCTGGAGTTGCAGAGCAGGAACTCAGGGCTGACAGCTCATCTCCCCCCTTTCCGTCCTGGTACTGGACCCTGGCTGTCACTTCTGGAGCGCCACACTGTGGGCCAAGCAAAGGCCAGCCCAGGCCTGACTAGCTTTACCTTGTCCCTCTAAGGAGACTACGTTCTCTACCTGCTGAGGCCAGCCCCTCATCTCCAGGCCCCACGGGGAACCTCTACACCAGCCTGGAGCCTGGACCCAGCATGGCTGAGTGCTCGAACTGGGAGGCAGCAATCCTGCTACTTCCCACTGTAGAAGAGGAGAGCTAGGGATGTAGCCGCGCTCTTCACCACCACCCCCTCCCTGCCACCCCACCAATCAGGAGCAGGGGCACTTTGCCCCCAGTCAGCCCTCCTTCGGAGCAAGGAGGTTGCCACAAGATGCTTTCAGAAAGGCTGGAGCTTTATTTCCTCTTTAGCTTCCCTTGCCCTCCAGGGGGTTCATGCTGGTGGTAATGGCCACTCTACTGGATCTCAAGGATGGGTAAACCAGGCAGGAAGGGGGTATATTGGCCTTGACTCTCCAGGGTCCCCACTGGACCAGGAAGCCTGCAGCTGGGGTCTATTGTCAGGCCCCTCATTGTGCAGCAGGGCCTCAGGTCCAAGGAAGGCCTGGGGCTAAGGCATCACCTTCCACCACTTGAAGGCAAAGGGCACCCGGCGGATGTTGGCACAGGAGCAGAAGTCTCCGACGTCAGTTAGGTAGCAGTCAAAGTCATCGATGAAGGTGCACTGGAGGCCCAGGGGCTCTAGCAAGTGGCAGACCTTTTCTTCCAGGCAGCAGATACCCTTGATTTGGGGCCCAAAGGGCTTGGGGATCCCCAGATTGTTGCCCATCACGATCATCTGCAGCTGTTAGAAAGAGGGAGCAAGGACTAGTTGAGGATGGAAAAAAGATGCCTTTTCCTCCAAGTACATCGTGCCATGGGCTAGGTGAGGGAGAGCAAGCTCAGAACACTAGTCACTAGCCCCCTCCCATGCAGACATCACTAATGGATCTCAGTGAGGCACCACTATCAAGGCCTGTGCCAATGCAGACATTACTAATCCATTTACGTGAACTTCCACATTTTCAGTACCTCTAATATTTCTCAATTGCAAAACCCAAATTCTGTGTGGCCAGCATTTGGCCTTGCTGTTTTACTTATTCCTTCTTCTGTATCTGTTATTCTGGCCCCATAGTTTTAGCTTTGCCATATTCCTATGTGCTGAACATCTTCCATTCCTCTACCCTTGTAATATCAACCCTTTTTTCTTTTGGTTGTGGGCTTAAACTCAGGACCTGGGCATTATCCCTGAGCTCTTTTGCTCAAGGCTAGCACTCTACCACTTTGAGCCACAGTGCCACTTCTGGGTTTTGAGTGGTTAATTGGCGAGAAGATTCTCAAGGGGACTTTTCTTCCCTGGCTGACTTCAAACAGTGATCCTCAAATCTCAGCCTCCAGAATAGCTAGGATTACAGGTGTGAGCCTCTAGTGCCCCGCCCTATTTTTGTCAATAGGAGATTTGAACTTAAGGTGTGTTACCATGAGCCACACCCTCAGTCTTATTTCATTTTAGGCAGGGTTTTGCATTATTTTTTGGCCTGGGGCCGACCTGTACCAAGATCCTATCTGTCTCCACTGTAGCAGGACTGACAGGCATAGGCTACCTCACTGAACTTGCTGGTGGAGATGGAGTCTTGCTAACTTTCTGCCCAGGGTTGGCCTGGTTGAACTACAGACTACCCAATCTTCATGTCCCAAGTAGCTGGGATTACAGGCGGAAGCCACTAGGCCCCATTCCTATCTATAACTCTTCCTCAGAGCTGGCTTGCCAACCAATGGTTCCCAACGGCTCCCAGGGGCACTTGCATGGTGCTGGGTGAGGGTGGAGCCTGGGTATCCAGGGCCCAGAGGAGCTCAGGTGTTTAAAGCATCTATGCAGATGTCTCAGATTTCAGACCTAAGTGACAGGTCACAGGTGCAGGAGAGGGACAGATACAAACCACTGTTGGCAGAGGGGCCCCTCCATTCATCCTCACTAAATAATGTTATTTCCATGCACCAGACATTGCTGTTCTGGACTCTAGGGACAGAACAGAAGACCCTGTCCTTAAGAAACTTCCTTGAGGACCGCCAACATCTTGCTTCTCATCAGTGAAGGAATCCTCCACGAACCCTCAGGCTGCTGATGAGCGAGGCTGGGCTAAGCAAGAGCCCAGAAGTACTTGGCCTGGATAGAGCCTGGCCCAAGGCCTGCAAGCCCAGCCCTCCATTCCTGGGGTCACTTCCCATCCTAAGAGCAAAAAGACCCTCATCCCATTTCCTCTGCCGTGCCCTGACCCCCGATCCAGCCCTCCCCAGCTAGCGATGCCCCAAGGCCCTCACCAAGTCAGGGAAGTAGGGCTTGGCGAAGAGTTTGGTGGTCTGCTGGTCTGAGGGGATGTTGGTGAGCTTCTCCAGGTAGAAGAGCTGGGGGATGTCGATGATGTCCTTCTCCACCAGGCCCAGCTCTCTCTTCAGGAGAATACGGTTCAGATAGATGCATTTCTGGGGGGACACACCAAGTATCAGAAATGGGAAGCCTCCTTCTGTTCTGTGCCTGGAGCCATGGCAGGTGGGGGGGAGAAGAGGAGGGAAGGAGGGGGAGAGACACAGAGACACACACACACAGAGACACACACACACAGAGACACACACACACAGAGACACACACACACAGAGACACACACACACACACACACAGACACACACACACACAGACACACACACACACAGACACACACACACAGACACACACACACACAGACACACACACAGACACACAC